ATTACTCTGTGGGGCATTAAAGTGTGACTTGGTAACCGTGTTCTCCATAAAGGTGACTTTTTGAATGTATACGGGTGACTGAATTGTCTCATTGTAATGTATATACAGGAGCAGACAGCCAGACGCTAAATGTTGAACCCTGTTTAAGGTTTACCAAGACTGAGTTTACACTTTTGGTGTTGGAGGGGGGGGGGGGGATGTGTTTGGATCATGTCTTTGTGTTTGTCTGAAGTTCACAACCGTTGATTTCTTGAAGGTTTATTTCTTCCCTCAGCACTCAGAGGGGCCCTGTGAAGGTGTGAAGGTCTCTAACTTGCGCTCTCTGGCAGGAGTGAGGGTGTCCAGGTGGACCGAGTCTTTTGGTAGGGGATCCTCCCCAAGGGGCTGTTGGTGGTCCCTGTCATAGTTATGTCATAGTTATGAGATAGAACGTCATAGTTATGTGATAGAACGTCATAGTTATGAGATAGAACGTCATAGTTATGAGATAGAGGGTTTCTGGGGAGTTTTTTCTATCTAACAGGGAGGGTAAAGGACGTTGCTCATCAGATCCCGTTACAGAGACTGGAACATTTAATTGGCATCAAAGGAACTGACTCAGCTGTTTAATTCATTTTTATCAGATCGATCCCACTTCATATTTGTAAATGATGAGTAAGTCGCAGAGTTCCACAAGGTTCTGTGCTTGGATCAATTCTGTTCACGTTATATGCTTCCTGTAGGCAATATTATCAGAAAACACTCCATAACTTCCACTGTTATGCAGATGATACCTGATTATATCTATAGCTTAAGCCAGACGAAACCAACCAGTTAGCCCAGATAAGATCATATAAAATATACTTTACTGTCCCCAGAGGAGAGAGCAGTGCTGCACACAGCTGCATCAGCTTCAAACAGTCAACAGACACTACAGCTATACACCAAAGACGAGATAAGAAAAACATGTCAAATGTTGTCCGTGTCCCGAGAGATTAAAAAAAGAATCATTTAACGCAGAAGAAATACGTAAAAGTCATCAAGCCAGCCTAGCACACAGATAATCAAGCGTAACTCCAAACAGCCTCAGAGACATACAAACCTGGATGAGCTGGTTAAAGTCAGACAGAACTCAAGTTATTCTACTTGAAGCACATGGTTGAATGGTATAGTAGTTACTGATGGCAGAGATCTGGCCTCTGGCACCTTCGTAAAGAATCTTTGATGAGGATTCGCCCTTTAACTCTCAGATCAAACTCATTTTAAGGACTGCCTTTTTTCACCTCTAACATTTGAATATCAGGCACATCCTGTCTCAAAGCGATGCAGAGACCACTTCATGCACTTGTTTCCTCTTAACCAGACTACTGAAACTCCTTATTATCTCATGAACTCTGCTTCTTCCCCGGAGTCTTTGTGCTTTGTCTCCTCGCAGGCTTCCATGGATCGGTTATATCTGGTCCTGCCTCTTGCATCCACATTGTGATATACAAATAAAATTGAATTAAGTGACACTTTAACTGTACTTTATCTGCTTTATGAATGAGAATGTTTCAGTTATTATTCTTCCAGGTTTGATCAGTGTTGCTTTAGGAAAGCCCTGAAGAAACATTCGATTCCTCCTCTTAGCATTGGGACACAAGGAGGAGAACTCTGAAGAGTCCAAACACAGACTCTGGGCCGGGAGCTTGGCCAAGAACAAGATGAGGGAACGGGATCAAGTTGAAGATCTGAACTTAGAAACTTATGTGTGCACACTGCATGAAATGGAAAAAAGGAAAAACATTACATGAACACTTCAGAGAAGGGTTCTGTTGTATTTCTGTGCAATATTTAGCATCATTATCAATAACTGTGACTCGTCTGTTTTCACTGAGGTTGACGTATTGTGGCGTCTTCACTGTAACGGGACATCACATCCAAGTACTGTACTAAAGTACACATTCGAGGTACATTTCTACTTTTTTAAATAAATAAACACGAATAAAAATATCCTGCTTCATCTTCCTAAAAAATTACATTTTTGCATCAAATGATGTAAATCAAGCAAGACTAGTCCTTGTACAATTTACCTCCATGTTTGTACTTAAATAAAATACATTTGCCAGTAAAGTTGAGTTCATTTTATGAAGTAGATCAAAAGATCAACATTTGAAACCATGTTTCTGAACGTGTTGCTTGAGGGTATATTGAGGTGTTGCTGACATGAGGACACGCAGCACTTTTAGTGAACGAGGGACACGTTTCCTCCTCAGCACTGACTCTGGTTCCACAGGTTCGTCTGCAGTTATGATCCCTTTGTTCAACAGACCAGGTTGTTTTTATGCCGATGCTCCTCCCACTTGTTCTCTGGGAGGAGCAAAGAAAAGTGTTTCCAAAACCTCTTGTGGAGGTCCGACTGTTTGAAGATGAGAAACCATCACGACCCGATTCAATAGGCCTCATCTATAAATCATTAAATCATGAAAAGCACATTCGACTGCAAGTAGTACAATGTTACAGCTGGCAGCTTTCTCTGTATGGGAACCCTGACGATGTAGTGCAGTGTGTACTTCACTGTACAGACTTCATTACTCTCTCTTCTTGTCTTTATCTTCTATTATCTCGGGCTTTGGCTGTTAGTTGTCTTTGAATGTCCTTTTGTAACGTGTCTCTCTTCACTTTGTCTGTGGCTCTTCATGTTGGAGGTAAAGCGCTTTGGAATTTGTGTTTCATTTTTATTTCCCATGACACACTCCTCCCACTCTGCAGCTCTGTACACCATACTGGGCGGGGTTTACTGACAGGTAGGGGAAGTGTGTGACAGGTACATCGTCTAGCAGCAGCAGTCCACTGCGACGTGTCAGGCTGGGAGAGTATTGTCTGTGTGCACTGTTGAAGTGGACTGAGAGCAGCACACAGGAGGAAGCTGACTGCAGGTAATGACAGAACACCTCACCCTTCATGTGTTAACCTGCTAGAGTACTGGTGGCGCGAGCCTTGGTTTCATATTGCATCACTGGGGAGGACGATGGACCGCAGATGTACATCTGTTGTTTCAATGTCACAAAGCTCAGCACATGTAATCCTGGATGTGGTATGAAAACATATCAAGGCAGTGAGAACTATGTTGAATTTGATCATGTCTGCATTGGCACTGTCCTAAAATACTCGTAACATTTGGATTAAACAAAACAAAACAGAAAACAAGTCTGTAATCAAGCAGCATGCGGTCCCAGAGGAAGACTGGGTCAGGTCTGTGGTCGTGGATCACTGTGACATCATCCAGAGTTCAATATCACATCACACGATGGAGGCTCTATATACATCCCTCGGGCCTGTGGCTGATTGTCATAGCTTGAGTTTGAAATGGCAACAGTTGAATGGTGTGTCTCATGACCTGACGTCGTCTACAGGTGAGCCATTGTGAAGCTCAGAAACTTAGAAAGATTTGTTTTTATCTTCATAAGGAGCCAGCTGCCATGTTTCTACAGTAGCCCAGAAAGGACAAACCAAACTCTTGCTTTAGAGAGGACCATTGTGCAATCTGCAACCTCACCACTAGATGGTGCTAGATCCTACACTTTATGATCAATCAAACAGGAGAGTTATGTAAATGTAACCCCCGGCAGTTGTCATGTACAGGGATATTAGCTATAAAGACCAAAACTGTCCATTGTACCAGCCTGTAAACATCTGCTTAAAGTTGAGCATTTTGACATAGAGGTCGATGGGGATTGACTTGGGTTTGGAGTCAGACACAAGTGGCCATTTTAGGAACGGCACTTCGGCGTTGGCTTCATTTCTCAACACCGGAAGCTGCCACTTGGCTCAGACCCAGCACACTCAAGACAAAGCGCTCATTAACTAGCCAGGTTACACGGTTAAGCTTAGTTTATGGTCACCGTAGTGAAGTCGGCATCAGGAAATTACGTGATCACGGCCTGCGCGGCGGCGGGTGAAGTAGGTGCGGTACTTGATCATGAGTTGTTGTAGCTTGGCGTACGCTGGGTGCTTGATGAGACCTTTTCAGACGTGACTGTCACAAATAGTTCACTGATAACAACACTGTTCACATGTCTGAGGATTTTACAAAGAAGCTCAATTCATTTTTAGACGCTTTAGAAACAGGAAGTCTATATTTGAGTTGATATTTTCCATTCAAACCAAATACTTTACAGGATATTCAACCTTTGTTTCTTCATAATATATTTAATACTTGACTTGTTTCTTTACAGGTCTTGCATAAAGGTAATAAAGTGCTGTTTTATCAGAAGTATCTTTATTTGGAAAAGTGGTGCTATCATGTCATAATCTGAGTCTCTTCTCTGTGTAGTTTTCATGGAGATCAGGAGGACATTCATCTCTATCTGCACAGTAGTAGCAGTGACAATCTTCATCTATCTCAACTGGGACTGGAAATCGGTGGGCAGCTTAACTCCAGCACCACTATCGTCATCAGCAGCAGCAGAACCACAATGGGAAGATCCTGGACCGTATCACGTGGCCTATCCACGAAACTACCAATTCATCATGGACGACACGCCCACGTGTCACACCAAGACTCCTTTCCTGGTCCTGATGGTTCACGTTGCAACCGGTGACCTTGCAGCTCGGGACACCATCCGGAAGACGTGGGGAAGTGACAAACTGGTTCTGGGTCAGCTGGTGGAGACTCTCTTCGTACTGGGCCTACCCGGGGGAGCTGATGCCGAGCAGCAGCAGGAGAAGCTCAAACAGGAGAACCTGCAGCACCATGACCTGATCCAGAGTAACTTCCAGGACAGCTACCACAATCTGACCATCAAGACTATGGTGATGCTGGAGTGGCTGGCTGCGCACTGCGTCAAGGCTTCCTATGTCATGAAGATTGACTCTGATATGTTACTGCATGTCCACAACGTGGTGAAACTGCTGCTGGATCCCCGCACGGCCAAACACAACTACATGACAGGTTTGGTGTGGTGGCACAGCCCGGTTTTAAGAAACCCATTCAACAAGTTCTACATGCCCCAAAACGTGATAGCGGAGCCAGAGTACCCCCCGTATCCTCTGGGCATGGCCTACGTCATGTCCCTGGACCTGCCGGCCAAGATCCTGGCGGTCTCTCATCAGATTAAACCGATCTTCATTGAAGACGCCTACCTGGGTATGTGCCTAAAGCGCCTGGGCATCTCCCCCACCGACCCTCCGGAACAAACGATGTTCATTGTCGACCCCGAGCATCCTCTGAGCAGCTGCAGCCTTTCAAAAGTGATCGCAGTGACGACGACGAGCATCCCGCAGATGACGAGTTACTGGGAGAGGAGCAGACAGCCAGACGCTAAATGTTGAACTCTGTTTAAGGTTTACCAAGACTGAGTTTACACTTTTGGTGTTGGGGGGGAATCATGTGTTTGGATCATGTCTTTGTGTTTGTCTGAAATATGTGTTAAACTCACAGCCGTTGATTTCTTGAAGGTTTATTTCTTCCCTCAGCACTCAGAGGAGCCCTGAGTTACAATAAGAGACTGTAAGAAATGGACAAAGTCACTGTGACGTCACCCATTCGTTTCTAGATGGTTTTGAAACCTCCAGTTTGGCGTTTGTCCAACGCCATCTTGTTTCTTTTGCAACTAGAAATGACACGATTCACAGTTTTTTGCTCCGGCGCCACCTCGAGGGTTAGTAGTGCTTCCAAAGATAAGGTCCTTTATCTACGTTACCAAGACGTTTATCATTCTGAGTGGAGAGAAAAGGTCACTTTAAACGCTCCTCCACACTGAACTGGGGAAGACTGGTTTCCAGTACTATGCATCTAGTGGGATGGACTGCAGACTGTACTAATCACACATTCATTACTCTGTGGGGCATTAAAGTGTGACTTGGTAACCGTGTTCTCCACAAAGGTGACTTTTTGAATGTGTACGGGTGACTGAATTGTCTCATTGTAATGTATATACGTGTTTTGTTTGTGTCTTTCTTGTAAAAGTGATCTTTATCTCAATGAGACTTCTACTTCTTCTTTCATTTTGTTTTGGCGGTCTCAAACCACCATCCTGTCTGTTCCTAAAGGTGGGAGTGATGCCTCCCTTTTGGTCTCCCACCCAGGACACTGATTGGTGCCCAAATGTTTAATCTTTCCATTCATGTACTATGCATATAGGTACACATATCTATGCAGGTTGTACGGCTTGTATACCTCTCGTGTAATGATAACATGGTTGTAACGTGTTGAGTAATTGTTCAATACATTCTGATTCAACTGATTAGGTTTCATTCAGTGATTTATATCAAACTCTTTTGTACCGTTCTGGTGCCCAGATTAGAATTAAATAGACTGTGGAAGTGAACTAGTATTCATTCTGTAAAAGAACGTTAAAGGAAAGAATCAAGATAGTTCTTAAGAGTGGTTTGCTGTTTGCGTCACAACACCGCACCCCTTTCTCTGAAGATGATAGCTAGAAGAAGTCAGAAGAAGGTGCTCTTCTACGCTGTACTTTGATACTGAAGGGGGATCTCTACCACCCGAGCCCTGAGGTGGGGGGAGCCGGCAGCTCTGTCCGTCTGCAGGCTCAAAGGCCCGCAGCGAGCCGAAACACTTCCACAAGCTGAGAAGCAAGAAGCTGAAGATGTCTCTTCTGTCACTTGGGTTCTGATATGCTCCAACAATGATGGCCCTCCCGGTTCTGGCCTTGTGTTGCTGACTTATTGACTACGGCCATCCTGTGTCGTCTAAGGTGACCTGCAGCTCCATCCTGTGATGCACCAAAGTGCTGAAGATTTGTTCCAACTACTAAGAGAAAGATACTTTAAAGGAGAGACATTGACGAATGAAAAACATTTTTAAAGTGGCAAACATGCCGCAATGACTCCTGCAGCTACAAAAGGGGGTCATGAGACGATTCAGCGTCCCGCTGAGTGAGAGGCGGAGACGAGGATCAACGGTTCAAGCCGAACCTTTGTGAAGGAGACCAGGTCCGAAGGAACCAGAGGAAGCGGAACAAACTTCCACCAGAATGTCAATCAGAACCGTTGGGGGAGAACAATATATTTACAGACATGAAAGTGTGAAGTAGTGTTAGGTAATAAGATAGATCCTAAACTAAATGAGAAATGAACATTAATCAATAAGGTTAGACCTAACATAGGATCACCTGCTGTTTGGTGTAAACGTCCAGCGATTGATAAACATTAATGAATGACATGATTCACTGATTCTAATCCATTCATGTTCATCCTGTTATTGTATTCCTCATAATAATCTTTATTCATTGCATTCTTTTTATTTATGTGACAGAAGTAACCTGATAGTATGTTGTAGAGTAATCCTATCTTAACGCCTCAGTATAATGCTTCTAACATTCTTCACGGTTCAATTGTCTCCTTCAATTAGCGATGAAGTTTTACACAAAGTGTGTCCAGCTGTAGTCTCATCTGTCCTTCTGTCTGCTTTATGTCGGTGAATGTCCTTTGCTCTCTATGGATGCATTAGTTCTACATTGATGTGAAGTTCACAGTGAAAGCAGAGCTCTGTTTCTGCTCGTCTTGATTCTCCTGATCAACGGGGGTTTGAAACATCCGGTGAATATCAACCCAAATTGTGACGACTCAGCGCTGGACTTTAGTCACTTCTGCGTCCTCCTTCCTCTGAATGGAGCCTCTACAGTTGTAGCTGTTGCTCCGTCCAGAAGAGGGCAGACTAACATCAGGTAACAGTCCTCTCACACAGCTGAGACTCACTCCAGACCTTCATGAACACAGTGTGAACTCATGCTCATACCTGATTGGATCATGATAGTGACAACATGGAAGCACCTTGATTAATGAACAGCACAATTCAGAAGTCAAATCAATGTATTCAGCGAAAGAGGATTTGTTTCCCATCGTAGACCCATCAGAGTACAGCTGGAGGATGGACTCCTGTATTCTTTATGGTATGTAGTGGATGTGTATGCGGAGCAGCTTGAGGAGATTCATTCATGTTCTCTCCCTCGTCTTAGAACAGAGACTTGTCTCACTGTTTAGCTTCAGGAGGAGGACGAGTGAAGAGTGAAGGTAAAGCTGACACCAGATAAAGAAAGACGATCTATCATCGAGACCCAGAGACGATCCGTGGTCCATGAAGGCAGGTTCACGGTATCGTTATCAGGACTCCTGCTCTGGTTTTAAACTTAAAAACATAGAAGCTATGCCCTCCACCCCCCCAGTCTGGTCCAGATTTACAGGCAGACAGGTGCTGTACTGCCCCCCCCCCCCCCCCACCAAGCTGTCCTCTCTGTCACCTTGAGCAAACAGAGAGCTCTGCAGGGTCATAAACCTCAGCTGGTCCTGTTCAGGCCTCAGACATCTATATGGGCCCTGAAGACTGGAACAGTGGTCTCTGACTAGACCACCGTCTAAAAGAACGCAGGTTTCTGTGAACCTTTAGAGTTCAGGAAGTCCACACAGATCCACCATGGATACGCTGAGGCTTTCTCCAACGACGGGAAAGAACCAAAGTGGTCGAGCGAGGAAACAAAAGCACATTTCTGTTCATTCAAAGCTTCTGTTGAGGATTGTTCAATGAAGTTTAAAATGTCTGTCCTCATCTCTGATGATGTCATCGATCTAAAACTAAATGCGACTTTTGATTAAATGTTTGAGAGGAGAACTGAGAGGAGAACGGTGTGGTGTGATGAACAGAGAGACGAGAGACAGAACTGCAGACGTCCTGTTTGGAAGTCAGTAAAACGTTTCTACTGTGTAAATGTTTCTGTGGGTGTTTCTGCTTTACACAGATCCTTCTTCAGCCTTCCTTCATCACAGCAGCAGCAGCAGCCGCGTCGATGTTTTCTCTGACTGTGGTTTGCTGTTGACATGTGTGACCGCTGCTGTTCTCCTTTCTGGAAAATTCCTCCGAACCACAAGGACTCGCGCCGCTCAGGTTCTCACAATCCCGGTCACAGTAGTCGCTCTGTGGGCCGTGAGAACCTGAGAATCAGTGACCAAGTCAACATGTTTCAAGCCGGTCCTTGTAAGCTTCAGCTACGGCAGCTACCGTGTACGTTAGTCACTGCCACGAGCGCGGGACCTCAAGTATCTCAGGGTCTTGTTCAAGTTGTGAGGGTCAAATGGAGAAGGTGCGGTACAACACCGGCGTCGCTGCTGACGCTGCACCAAACCTGGAAGGCAAGTCTCTAGATTCACTCGTCCATCTAGACCCTCAGCTGTGGTCACGAGCTTTCGGTAGTGACCGACACGTCACGTTTGTAACTTCACATTTTGAATATCTGAGTTTTACACTCGGAAGTCAAACTTTTAGTGCTTCGTGAGCCACTGAGCATCTTACAAAGGAACGGACGCTGGATCCAGTTCCTCCTGAACCAGAACCAGAATGTGTGGATCCAGGTCCTCCTGAACCAGAACCAGGATGTGTGGATC